TCCGCCCAATAAGAAGGGTTTGAAACGCTTAACGAATGTAATAAGTGCTAGCAACTCCCTACGATACGCGCAATAGTTACGTTCCGGTTTGGTGAGGGACCGACTGGCAAAACAGACAGGTCGTTCGCACCCGTTGTCGTCGGCCTGAGAAAGGACGGCGAAAAATAGCTTTTGCGCTAGCATCGCTGTCTTGAATGAAAGGCGGGGCGCCCGGGGCTGTGTTGGGGAGCATGAGGACGGGCGCGGCGGTAAGGCGGTTTTTCAACTCCTTGAACGCAAGCTGGCATTCAGCTGACCGAGCGAACTTGAGATTGCGTTCAGTCAGCAGATGCAAGGGACGAGCGATATCCGCGAAACCCGCAATGAAGCGGCGGTAGTACGAAGCGAGGCCAAGAAAGCCCCCGGCTGACGAGGGGACGGGCCACGTGCGGACTGCGTCGATCTTATCAGGTGAGACGTGAATGCCCTCGGGGGTGACCTCGTGTCCCAGGAACGTGACGTGGCGCCGCAGGAATTGGCATTTCTGTAGGTTAAGGCGGAGGCCCGCAGCGCGCAAGGCAAATAGCACCGCGGCGAGGTTGTCAGTGTGCTCTAAAATCGGGCGGCCAAACACAATCACGTCGTCGAGGTAGATCAGACGGCAAGTAGGATATAGGTGAGCCAGCACACACTGCATCAGCCGTTGGAAGGTGGCTGACGCATTGCAGAGGCCGAAAGGCAACGTCTCGAACTCGAAAAGCCCTTGCGGCAAAATGAACGCCGTTTTGTGTCGGTTAGCCGGCTCTACCTCGACTTGCCAGTAGCCAGACTTTCAGTCTAGCGTGGAGAACCACTGGGCCCCGGCGAGGGCACCAAGAGTGACGTCAATTCGAGGCAACGGGAAAGATTCTCGGGTGGTAAGCGCATTGAGTCGACTGTAGTCGATGCAAAACCGAAGGCGCCCATCCTTCTTAGGCACGAGCGTGACAGGGGAAGCCCAGGGTGCCTTAGACGGCCGGATAACTTTGGCTTTAAGCATCTTTCGGAGCATGTCATTGACCTCTTTTTGGAAGTGTGGCGGTATCCGCCGTGGCGGTTGCCAAACGGGTTTGGCAGTGCCAGTGTCTATAGCGTTTCGGACGACCGCTGTACGGCCGAGGAACGAGTCTTACCACGCGAAAATGTCGGCCGCCTCGGTGAGTAGATCACGAAGGGCCTGCAAATCTCGCTCTGTTATGTCAGGATCAATGGGCAAAACGGACTCGATGTCCGTGGGACGAAGAGCAACAGCCGCCTCGATAGCGGCACAGATGGCCTCTGTGTCAAGTGAACAAGGACTAGCCCGAACAGCCGGCGGCGCCCTAGAATCATGTCCCACGTCAACATAGGTGTAACTACGAAGGTATGTTCGCGGGTCCTGGACGGGAACCCGAGTGGAAGTGTAACGGTACCGAGTACGACCATGCCCGCACCGGTGACGGTGCGGAGGCTAGTGGGGCGAGCGGCTGGGCGAATGTGACCGGCCCAGGTGTCAGAGAGCTGATCGGCCCTTACAAGGGATACGGAGGCGCCGGTGTCGATTAACGCCTTAACAGACAGGTTGTCTACACGAACCGTGGTATAAAAAGGGTCATGAGAAAAGGACATATCGGAACAAAACAGGAGCAATATCGTTACCTTCGTGGTTTGTCCAGGTCGGATTGCGTTGATTGTCACGGGGTGGTCTATGGGGCGGGTTCCTGGGTGGAACCCTGTAGGGATTTCTGAAGCCGCCGTTCCTGTTTCCCCGGTCCTGACGATAGGACGATGGAGGCCGGGAGTACGACCACGTCTGGGTTCCGGATTGCTGGTGTGTGGTGTTAAGTTGCCACGCAGCCCCAGGGGTAGAGCCGTCGGTCGTGGAGGGATCAGACTCTAGCATCAG